AAAATCCAGTTGACAGGGAGACTATCAATTTTTAATGGGAACTTCCTCCCTCCTGGAGAGGGGAAGCATGTGGGGGTTAGCCATGAAAGGGATCAACATTGCTCACGATTATTCCACTGCCTCTGCTTCCATCTGAACCTTGTGGTCAAGTCTTTTTGAAACCTGAGTGAGGCACCATAAAAAGCCACTGCCTCACAGGCAAATATCCTTCCCTGAGCTGCCCAGGCTGTCCCACCACAGACATTCTCTTCCCTCTCCTGGGTCAAGTGCCACAGAGGTTTGTGCCCTTGGAGATAGCCCCGAGCAGGACACAGCATCAGCACAGGTCAAGGGTGAGGAGAGAACTCAAAGGAAGATCTGGCCAAGCAGATAAGTGATCCACATGATCCTGAGAGCCCGACCCCAGGGACTGAACCTCCTCTCCCAGGGGCCATCCCTGAGCTGACACAACTCCATTTATTTCGGCGTAGCCACAACAATTTACACAAGCTGCAGCTCTGCCCCTGGGCTGAACACAAAGCCTTTGTGGAGGGATCGAACAATTCCCTTCCCCCAGAGCTGTTTTCCCAAGACAGCCGTTTTCCGTGTTTTCTTTCAAGTGAAACAGACCCAGAGCTTCCCACGCTGAGGATTCAGAGCATCCCCCGCCCCTGCCCGGCTCAGCAGAGGAGCACGGAGCAGCCTCACTCCTCTCCTGCAGCTGGAAAGAGCAACCTGAGCACTGCAGTATCTGTTGGACAACGTCCTTCTCCATTTCCCTGCAAGCACCTGCTGCAGCCCAGACTGATTACCTTAATGCAGAGCAGACCTGGCTCCAAGGGGGCTGAGCCACACCGATATCGCTGTCGCAGCCCTCGTGGCTCCACTGGCAGCCCCTGCTCACTCCTGTCTCCTCTCCCTTCTCCAGCAGTGGCTGTTGTCAGGACCTGCAGCTGCTGCACACAAAGGCCTCATTGATTTGGTGAGCGCCGGAGCCTGTGGAGTGACTGCATCCTGCCTTTGTGTGGGAGGAAGGATGAGTGGAGCACACGGACCACACGGCCCTTCTGCTGCTCAACTCACCACAGCACCACACGCTGCAGCTCACCCTGGCTGGGGAAACAGGTGTGGGAGTTAAACAGGATTCCTGACCCCCATCTTGGGCTGTGCAGCTCCCCACAGACCTGGCTCAAGGCCCACAGGTCAAAGTCCCACACCATTCCCAAGGGACTGATATCCTAACTGAGAAAAAAAAAACCACCATTCTTACAGAATCTGCCATAGTATGGACTCTGAAGATAATGACTTGGTGATTAAAACACCTTGCACTGAAGCCTGCAGCTCCTGCACCCAACCTTGCACACAGCCCATGTGTCAGCCACAAACCTACAGTGATAACTGGAGACCCCTCTGAACATCACCTCCTGCTGTGTGTTGGGTGTTCTACTACTTTAACATCAATGAAATCCACTCACAGAATCAGGCATTGAAATTCACCCACGTATCTGCAATGCTGATTGCCTCCAGGCAACGGAGGAAGCAAACACAAACATTGCAAAAGGACCACGAGATCTTCGAGCATGATGGATGTTCACTGAGCTTTGCCTGCTCAGAACTAAACCTGAACAAAGCAAAACATAAAGCACTTCTTTCACCCAGAATCTGGCTCAGAACACAGCCAGGGCTGCAGGAGACAGACAGCTGAGGGGTGTTACGCACTTGAGTGTCACACAGCAGCAAAGAGACAAGGTTCCTGCTGGACTATCTGATTTCTGAGGCAGACAGAGCTCAGATAAGAGTTGCTGGTACAGGACATCCTCTGTCTGCCCCCAGTGGGTGGGAACCACCCTCACCTTGTTGCTTCACACCTTAGCTGAATGGACTGGAGCAGTTACAGCCCCTTTGAACTCACCTAGGAGAGCTGGAGAACAGCTCAAAAGTTAAACTAAAGCTAAAATACACAACTGCCTACGCCATTGTGCTCAGATTTAATCATCTTTTTATTACCTCTGAAGAGATATAGTACTTCCAGGTAATTTATTGGAATGAGTAAGCGATGATAAAGAGGAAAACAATTCCACTGGAACTGCCAGTGCTGTGACATCATACACCTCTGACATCAACAGTGGACTTCAGGCAGACAATCCAAGGGTTTGTGAGGTGTCCTGTACTAAATCAGAAGTTATCACAACAGCTAAAATCAAAACCAGGATACAGCTCCAAGCCCTGCTGAAAGCTGCTCCTCCAGGAGCTCTGGTTTTTAACAAAAAACTCATGTGTTTGGAGGTTTGAGGCCTCAGGAATGAGAGTGCAAAACCACTTGTGATGTCTGAGCTGCTCCTCCAAGCCCACATCCTCCTCTCCAGCTCAGGAGATGGGTTTGTGTCACACAACACAGAGCTGAGCACAGAGGAGCTTTGGTGTGTGAGGTTTGGTGCCAGCTCCATGCACAGAGCTCTGCCTCAGGGCTGGCATCTATGCCTGGGCTCACAGGGAGCACGAGGCCCTGCCCAAAGCAGCGGCAAGTCATCACTCAGCTGCAGTGTAAACTGCGGTGGTGAAGCTCAGGAAGCTCCACAAAGAACTCCCAGGCAAATTGCCAGAGTCACACAAGTGGAAAGGACTAATAATCCAGCACTGAGTCTCTATAAACTCCAAACTGTTGCACACACACACACACATACACACCTGCCATTGTCCCACTTGTTGACACAACAAACACATCTTTCTTTACCCTGAGCCACAGGGACTGACCTGCTGTGAGTCACTGTGCACTCCATTTACATCACACAGTCCAGGTAAACCTGAGCAGGTTTGCTGGTGGAGTTAGTATAATCCTGGCAGCAAGTCCCTTATCTAAACCCTCTATCTGTCATTTTGGGAAGGTGCCTGGACCAATAACCCAACATTCAGCATTAGCAGATCCAGAGTGAAAAGAACAAGTGGGATCCCATGGAGCTTGTGCCTCCTGCACAGTCACTTTCTGAACTACAGCAGCACAGCTACAAACTAAAGAACTGAAAACCAGAGAAGAGGTTAACCAAGAAGCTGGAGAGGTGAAGGGATCAGACAAGTTTGGGTTTGGATGACAGGATCTCAATCAGAGGATCAGCAGTGGATTCAGTGATGTCAGTCAGCAGCAGCTCCCCAGGACAAAGCTCCACAGCACAGACACAAATGCTAAAGGACATCAGCCCAGCAGAGATTCTGTGCTAAAAAGCATCTAAGCAACAGCACTGAGAGCAGCAAGAGCAGTGGTAGCTCAGGAGAGGACAGAGAAGGCTGGTTAAGCTGGTACTTCAATGCAATGTTGAAGTATGGATGGATAAGGAGGAAGGAGCTAAAACACTGAGCTAAGCACAGTTAGAAGTTCACACACCTCTTAGAGAGCACATTGCATTGCTCTTCTTAACCCTAAACTTTTCTTTAGGGATAGATGACAAAAAGGTAAGGAAGCAGCACCAACAATAGAAGCTCCAAGGGAGATAGAAAGGTGGAGGGACACCCAGAGCCTCAGGAAGGTCTGGGCTGTCCAACCCCAGCAGTGAGGTCCTGGATCAGTCCTGGAGGCAGGAGATGGAAAGAAGTGTGAGGGAAGATCAGCAGTGACTCGGGTACTGAATATATTTAAAGAACTTCTATTAGTGCTAAGATTAAAAGGCTATCAGAGGTCACCAAACCCAGATGGAAACAAGATTGGGATGATAAAGGAGGAGGCATTAACCCCTGGGAGGCTGCAAACCTGCAGGCTCCAAGTCACTTGTGCTGCTGAGAGAAATAAATCCAAGGGAACAAGCAGAGATCAGCACGTCTGGGATTGTGGTCTGAGATTTCATAAGCACCAAAGTCACTCAGATGTACTTTGAGAAATGTCTTTGTCCAGAAGGTTCTTGGAATTTATTATACACATTTAATAACAGATGATACTTGACATTGAAGCTGCTGAAGCAGTTTACAAGCACTTGAGCATACAATGTAGACTTATGCTAAGAAACAAAGGATTCAGCATACAAGGGAGTGCAGAAAGAGCTACTTGGAAGATATTTTAATCCCCTTGCACCCAGGATCTACAGACCTGCCTTGGGTT